TCCAAAGGCATGCTTCAGCATGACAGCAAAAAAGATCCCAAAAAGTGTTGGTGCGAGGACACAGCCCTGTTTCACTCCGCTTTGGATGTCAAAGGGGTCTGATGTTGAGCCGTCAAAAACTACAGTGCCTTTCATTCCCTCATGGAAAGATCTGATGATGTTAAGGAGACGCGGTGGACATCCAATCTTGGGAAGTATTTTAAAAATACTACTCGCATTTGCATGCTTTCGAACCGCTAGGTTGGCGGGAGCTGGGACAAGCGACAGGCACTCACTCCGTCGCGTGGATTCGATCTTACGAATCGATCTGACCCTGCAGCACAGGCTTCTGCGGTTTAGCCCACAGCGCCACCACGTCTCTGATTTATATCAATTTCGAAATCCCTTCTCTGGTCCTGCCTAATCTATTCCATCTTCAACCTGTTGTTATGTGCTCAGCCATTATAAACTGAATCCTCTCGCTTCTTTTAGGGAGTCCATCTTATATTTGGTATACTCCTTCTCCTGCTACTTTCAACCATTCTTAGCATTATTTTCTTTTCCAGTGAATCTTGCCTTCTTATGATGTGCCCAATGTAGGACAGTCTCAGATTCATCATTTATGACTTTTGGACTCCTTGAGTACAGTTCTTGGATTCTCCCTGTTTATTTTCTGTTATGACTGGTCTCGCTTGTCTCTGGATTGCTCTTGGATTTTGCTTTTGCATTTTCTGCACTCATTTGTTTCTCCAACTGTCAAGCAAGACTCTGTTGCTAGGCTCTGATTTATTTCAATTTTGAAATCCCTTCTCTGGTTCTGCCTAATCTATTCATGCTTCAGCCTGTTGTTATGTGCCATCAAGTTGCCTCGGTGACCCCATGAATAAGTGATCTCCAAAATGTTCAGTCGTCAACTGGCCTGCTCAGCCATTATAAACTGAATCCTCTGGCTTCCTTTAGGGGGTCCATCTCATATTTGGTATACTCCTTTTCCTGCTAGTTTCAACCATTCTTAGCATTATTGTCTTTTCCAGTGAATCTTGCCTTCTAACGATGTGCCCAATGTAGGCACAATGTAGTCTCAGTTTCATCATTTTTGGCCTCCAGAAATAGTTCAGGCTTGATTTGCTCTAGGACCCACTTGTTCGTCTTTCTGGCAGTCCAGGATATCCACATCATATTTCAAATAAATCAATTTTTCCCTGCCAGATTTCTTTACTGTCCGGCTTTCACACCCTTATATAGTGATCAGGAATACAATATGGTGGATGATCTTGGTCTTGATCTCCAGAGACACATCCTTACATTTTACAATATTTTCTAATTCCTTCACTGCTGCCCTTCCAAGTCTCCTGATTTCTTGGCAGCACTCTCCATTTGGACTGAAGATTGAACCAAGTTATATAAACCTTTAACAATTAAGATTAAACCAAGGTATGCACAACCTCTAACAACTCCAATTTCTTCATAGTCAACACCAATGTTCTGTAGTTCTTTTGTAGTCATGATTTGTGTCTTCTTAATGTTCAACTTCAATCCTGCTTTGGCACTTTATTTTTTCACTTTCCCTAAAAGCCGTTCTAAGTCATTGTTGCTTTCTGCTAGTAAGATGGTGTGATCTGCATATCTGAAATTAAATAATATTTCTTTCACCAATTTTCACTCTTCCTTCATTTCAGTCTAATCCAGTTTTCTGTATGATATGTTCAGTGTACAGACTGAACAGGTAAGGGGATAAAATGCACCTTTGTCTGACTCCTTTGCCTATAGGAAACCTTCGTGTCTCTCTATATTCTGTCCTAACAGTAGCTTCTTGCCAACAATACAAGTTACACAAAAGGACAATTAAGTACTTTAGCCTACCAAGACCTAATACTTGGGATCAGCCCACCTTGGGAACAGGACACACATGGACAGAGATCTGGAGATGGAAATCAGATCTTCATAGACCTGTACAAAGAACTCTGGAACAGTCTCATGCAGTCTGCACCACTGGCTGGTTGCAACTCAGAATATCCAGAACATGAATTTGTTGCAGGTCTAACTTGTAAAAAGCTAAGGGAAAATGACTTGGTTTTACATGGCTATTAATGGAAATATTCAGCCTTTGTCCAAATACCAGTCAATTAGTGGGAAAATCATTTTGCAGAAACATTTGATTAGTAATGAATCAGAGACTAACAAGCCTGAGAAATTTATAATTAGATTACCATAATAAGGCTAAGGCATTCTTTCTGACCTTAAGTTACAGAGAAAAGTACAAGTGTCAATGTGTATCTGATAGCAATACTCTAAGAGAAGTAGCAATAATTTATTCTCTGTTTAAACCTAATAAGCAACAGTCCCCACCCATCACAGTGTCCAAACTGTTAATTTACATTAATGAGAATGGTAGATTACCTCTGGAATGGAAATGAAATAAATTGTTCTCCACTGACAAAAATTGATTTACCATTTACAAAGAAATATATACAGAATAATAAATGTTATTAAAATGTTTTCAGAATAGTAAAAGCCCCACGTTTTAGGGTTTTGCTTCATTCATCTGGAAATCTGGGGTGTCACTACACAGTGGGGAAAATGTGAAGTGATTTGCTGTGAATTTGCACCAGGAAAGTTGGGTTTCCCTTGCTGAATTTGCTTTAGCTAACCAGACAGGAAAGAGCAGAGAGAGAAGAGGAAATTGGCAATGAACACTTGTTTGCAGCTTGTTGAGGTAGCTTTACTGTGGCCATCTAGATTTACAGGAGGCATAGCTATAATACAGCTACCATTGTTGTTGTTTAGTCATTTAGTCGTGTCCAACCCTTCGTGACCCCATGGACCAGAGCATGCCAGGCCCTCCTGTCTTCCACTGCCTCCCGGACTTGGGTCAAATTTGCGTTGGTTGCTTCGATGACACTGTCCAACCATCTCATCCTCTGTCGTCCCCTTCTCCTCTTGCCTTCACACTTTCCCAACATCATGGTTTTTTCCAGGGAGTCTTCTCTTCTCATGAGATGGCCATCAGTTACCATAACAAGCAGCAAACAAGGGCTACCATTTCCTCCTCTTTCACTCCTGTCTGGTTGTTGTAAGCCAGTGTTTCCCAACAATTTTCAAATTTCAGCCTCCTTTTATAATAGCAAAGTAACCTGTGACCACCGCCACATTTGCACAGAAAAGCAGTTTAGTGGGGTAAAAAAATTATATATTTTCAGAATATAATTCTGACCTAATATATAAATATTAATATAATAATACATAATAATTGGAGGGGGTAAATCTGCCTCTACCAGGTAAAACTGAGAAGAAGAAAAATATCAGTACACTTTGTATTTAATTTACTTTTTTGGGTGTGGAAACAACCTTGCTTTCATGTCTCCTGACTCCAAAACAGCTCCCTCAGTGAAGAACCCCTTCCCTCAAGCCAAAATAAAGACCTCCCCCATGGCCCTCATGGCCCCCTTTCTGGTTCTGCTGCATCTTTTTGCTCCTCTTGCCCCCTTCATCACTTGGGCAGGGCCTCTCTCTCTCTCTCTCTCTCTCTCTGTGTCTTCTAGATGTCCTAGCACATCAGTACATACTGGCATCAAGCCTTTAAAAATATGGCTAAGAGATAAGGAGTGCTCAGTTGAGGGTAACTGACATACACACAAGTTGCTTTTTGCTTACTATCTCCTCACCCTGAAGCAGGAAGCTGGGAAAGCCAGGTTCTGGTCAGCCACTCAGCTGATTCACATTGACTTGCACGTTGTGTAGTCAATGGAAAATTATGCGGATCAGACCATCCCAGTCCCTGAGCATTTTCTGTATTATTTGTCAGTGTAGTCGCCCTGTTAGTTTATTCTGAATCTGGCAAGGCAGATTTCTATGGCATTATGGATTTAAATTCACTGTTTTAAGTTAATCAATTCGTTCGTTCGTTTAGTCGTTTAGTCGTGTCCAACTCTTCGTGACCCCATGGACCAGAGCACGCCAGGCCCTCCTACGTATCTTATTGCTGCCTTGTCATGGCGAAGGGGCTTGAGTAACTCAGAGAAGCTATGGGCTATGCCGTGTAGGGACACCCAAGACGGACAGGACATAGTGGAGAGTTCCGACTAAACGCAATCCACCTGGAGTAGGAACTGGCAATGCCACTCCAGTATCTTTGCCAAGAATGCCCCATGATCAGAAACAAAAGGCTAAAAGTTAATCAATAGCAATTGTAAAATTCCAGTTTTTCCCTTTCATAGGCAAATGTCTACTAAAATGATTTTGACCAGCAGGAATGTGTGACACTAAAATTTCTTTTTAAAATCTACTTCATGGTACTTTGGTTAATAAAAGTAAGAAGATTCCTGGCATCTTTGAGGAAGCCAAGAAATTAATCTCACTTTCATTATGTATTCTTTTTGCCCCACTGCCTATGCCACTATTTTTCTCTGGATATGATAATTTTTTGTTTGCTTGTTTGTTTAGTGTCTTACTGTGTTTGACCACAGTGTCCATCATTTAACTAGGTATGCTAGCTGAGGATGATGGTAGTTGTTTCCCAACATATTTGAGGGGCAAAAGGTAGAGGAAGGCTGATCTAAACTATTTCATAGACAAATCATCTGCTTTGGTGCTGTCCTTTGGGAGATGTCTCAGGGTAGGGAGTCCAACACTTCTGGAAGACACCAGGTTGGCATATTATACAAACATATTTCATTTTGTAATGCTGAAGCTAAGAAAAGCTAAGAAAAAGGTGACTGAGAATCATAAAGCCAACCTGAGGAACAGTGCCAAAAGAGATCTCTGTATTTAAATCGCATAAGACACAGATTTAAGTAGAAGGAGGCATACCTGAATCTTCTGATCCCATTTAGATGTTCTTTATATCAAATGTTGTCTTCAGTTCAGAGGTGAAACTGCACAGCCACACAGATCATTAAGAAATGAACTAAAGGAACTTCTGTGCATGGCCTGAGGTACAGAATAATGGAGCAACCAGGGGAGGGTGAATCTGAAAAGTGAGCTCAGCAATTTCTGTCCCAGATTTCACAAGGAGTTAAAAGAAGGAAGTGCTCCTAATGTAACTGAAGAATTACACCATAATTCTGATCTCATTGCACAATCGTGTGTACATATGTGTTGACCTGTCAAGGAAGAAGAGGCATTTTGAGCTTCACTTTTGCTTTTAGTGCAGCTAGGTAACTCTTGGGGACGTTGGTACAGAATAGCAAGAGCTCCACAGGAACTGATTGTATTTGGATCCCAATGACTCAAAGATGATACTGCCTCATAAGTTATGTGCATTCATTAGTTTAGGATTATTTCGGACCATCCTTTCAGTTACAGTTTCTGGAACAGTTGACAGAAGAATAAAGTCCCAAATACAGTATTAAAATAGAATGGTGTAGCAATGCAGTCATAAAACAGAAAAGAGAAAAGAGGCAGCAAGATCTTAATAAGAATAAAACATTCAGGAGTGATACAGTTAATGCAGAATGCAACTACTAGAATTCTGGTGGCTTTAGGATTCCATTTTACATGGGTTCTGAAGGAACTGCTTTGGTTCTCCATTTCCTGCTGAGCCTCACTTAACCTGCTCACCAGCCCTGTATCTTTGTCCCATTTCTCATTCCACAGAAGCTCAAACAACCACCTTTGAGGAGCAGGAACAACCCAATTCAATACAAATGATAACGATGTGCCTGACTTGACAATTGAAACCAGCTATTCTCAACCTTATAATCTTAGAACTGTATTGTCGGGAGAAATCCTATGGATCGTCGAGTCCAGCCTGTATCAAGGAGGCACAGTGGGAAATCAGACTCCTAATTTCTGGCTCTGTAGCCAGATGCCTAAACCACAGAGTTATCTAGCAGTTTTTTTGTGTGTGTTTGTTTGGCCACAACCATAAACACAATATAAAAGAAATAGAGGCCAAGTCAGGATTATATAAATCTCATAACAAACCTTATAAGGTAGTGTGTGAAGAATTGTTTCCAGTCTGTGGATCCCTTCAAATGTGCTGGTGCCCCCAGGGGGCCATATGGCTCCCGTTGAGAATGACTGATTAAAATTGACCTTCCATTCCAAGCTTTCTTGTTTGATTGCTATAATTTAGGGTGACAGCAGGGAGACAAGGGGGGGATTGTTCTTGCTATTATCAAACTGTAATTTTGTTACACATTTTTAGTTATACAATACATTACAGATTGTCCATCATTCGAGTGGAAAACCTATTAAAGTTTAACAAGACTGAGGTAGTCTTTCATGTCTGAGGAGGGCTTAGGCCTGATGACAAAGCAGTATGCAAATTTGCAAAGTACAGGACATAAGAATATTTCCTGATGTGACAATCTCACACAGACAATACTGTACTTGTTCCTTTTTATCTCTAAAGTATAGTACTGCCACTCTAAGCAATCTTTTCCTAATTACTGCAGATTACTTAGGGATCTGCCTTCTGCTCCACTCCTACTCTAAGGGAAGAGTGAACAGACTTTATGCTTGGAAGTTCTACTTGAACCCTGGGTTCTGTCATCTGGAGCCAGGAGCAAAGTGTTAGCTCAGAAAGGTGGACATAGAATTGAAAAACAAAGTTTAGAAGTTTGGTTTTGAGAACAGAGATGGGGTTCACTTGCAGAGTCTTTCACATACACACTTCTGTCCCCCCCACCCCACCAGTTTGCTTAATTTCATCAGCCTACATTATATATATAATTTAGAGCCACAGAAGCTATTAAACAAATCAGAGGATAATTTTTGATTTATTGATATGTTTCTGGAAGGTTATATATAAAGGCTTAAATATAAAGGCTGAAGTATATTCTTAGCCTCATATCTCAGATAATCTTTTTATTCTGGCTGAGGGATTTCAAGGTTGTAGGTTCCAAAAAATAACTTTCCCAAGTTCTGTGACAAAAATGATGTTCTATGTAAATTTTGAAACTCTGGGAGGATTTCACCTATTTTAACATCTCCATGAGCTACTGGAAAATGGTAAAGGCTTATCTTCCCATGTATGGGGCAGCAATGGGAATAAATTACTCGCTGAAAATCCTGCCATAGAGCCCGAACAAGAAAAGGTGACAACCCTAATTAACTGTCAAGAAAAAATCAGAAAGGCCAGAAAAGAAACAGGATGTGGTATCACTCAAGGTCCTTGGCAGGAACAACAACCTCCAACATCAAAACAAAGTGCTACATCAACAGCTTTCGGAAATAAAATCTCAACTCTAGTTCCTTTTCTTATTTACTGTTTCCCACCACTGCGATGAATAAAATACAAGATTCTCAACATCTTTGAGGAAACGAAGAAATAGTCTCACTTTCATTCTTTTTTATGTCTTGCTTTCTATGCCATTACTTTTCTTTGGGGCTGAAGTTTTCTTTTTTAAAAAATACCTCATAACATCTACTTCTTATTGTTTCTGGTCCTACTTAGACATGGCCTGTCATGCTCTGATAACATTCAAGTTGCATAGCACCTTTGAGACTAACCTGTCTGTCAGGACACGAGCTTTTGCCGCAAGCACAAGCCATAATAAATCAGCTCTAAATGTATCCCCTGCCGCTTTGCTATTGTGGTGCAAGAGCTGGATAACACAGCTCCTCTTGCAGAAAATGCCATATCTTGGCCAATATTATTGCAATGGGGTAGACGCAGCTGTGACAGATTTTGTTCATGAGTACAGAGTGTGTAGTCTACATATTAGTTCCAAATGTCACAGAGAAGGACACACCTTGGAATTTGCATGAGGTGATGGATTCCGCCATGACAAGGCGATTCCTGAAGATTTAGAATTATGTCTCTTTAAGACTGTTAATAAAACAGCAACGTACACAACCCACAAAATCTTGGTCATTAATAACAATATGTATTGTTCCAGCCATTATGGAATTATGGAGTAAATAACAGAAAAACATTATTCAAAAATTATTAAAACTACAATATAGATAACATTTATAGTAATAGCAATGCAATCAGTGAAACTTCCTCCAATTTATAAGGATATAAAGTGAATTTATTTATTTATTT